TGTCCAAATTTAGACATACCACCTCCTCTTGCTATTCAGATCAATGTGGTTATATATGTACAGTATTCAGAAAAATAATTTTCCTCATCCTAAGCAACAGGACAGCAGAACAGAACAGAGTTGTATGTCCCCAGTTTATTTGTTCCATTTATATTCTTCCACTTTAAATGAAAAGAGGAGCGAGATTAACCAATAAACCATAATTTATTCAAAATGCTCCCTGAGCCTCCAGTCGAGGAAATGACATTTTCTTGATTCTTTTTCTTTCCTTGATTGGTGTAGACATGCAACTTTCTGCAAAAGATATGCATTGTTTCAGTTTGCTGGGTGGTGAGAATTTCAGAGTGTGCATTTTTTTTTATTTTGCTTTTCAGATGCTGCTTCACTTCCCTTTGTTCTTTGCCTTCTTCATACAGGCATTAGAATTCATTTTCTGGATAATTTGTTCCACTCCTGGCTGTGCTGCCATATTTTTGCCTGGAAGGTTGTAGTTAGGATGAGTAGATAAGATCAGAACACTGAATGATGCCTGATTTCCTGGCATTTCTTTGCTAAATTGATTATTATCCATGATGTGAGCCAGAAATGCTAGGGATACTTGGATGGATAATGAAAGAAATGTAAGTCTCCTCCAGATGTCTTCACAAGTTAATGAGTGCAGTGTCTGGCATTTATCCAGCTTGAAAGAGGGAGGATGCAGAGAGAGTTGTCCATTAAAATTCAATTTCTCTGTTCAAAGATTTGGTCCAAAATAGTTTTCAGGATTATTTCTTAAAGCTTGAGACATGGGGGGGTATCCTTTGATTGAACTGACCTAGTGCCTCCCATTCAAACTAATGGAAATGGTCTTAGAAGAAGTGTTGCTAACATAAAGTTGTTCTTGTTAAAACTCATCAGAGCTAGCCCAGCAGTCACACTATATTAGCAATAGCCATAGCACTTAGACTTATATACCACTTCACAGTGCTTTATAGCCCCCTCTAAGCAATTTACAGAGTTAACATATCGCCCCCAACAATCTGGGCCCTCATTTTACCTACCTCAGAAGGATGGAAGGCTGAGTCAATCTTGAGCCTGGTGGGATTTGATCTGCCAAACTGCTGGCAGCCGGTGATCAGCAAAAGTAGCCTGCAGTTCTGCACTCTAACCTCTGCGCCACTGCAGCTCTAGTAGCCAAATTATGACTTTATTTGTTTGTTTGTTCATTTGGATTTATTTGGCCAATGACTCTAGATGGCTTATATCTAAAAAGTAAAGAAAGGGAAAAAGAAAAATAAACATGCATATCCAGGACAAACAAGCCAATACATAAAAAAAAAAAAAACACCAACAATCCCTTAGCAACCACCCTATGCCCAGGCCTCGGAATAAAGCCACATTTTCACTTGATTTGTGGAACAGCTACAGGATCCTCATCAGCACTTCATACTTCTAAACTCCCTCCAATTTATCAACAGCTCTGGTTGCCTTGCCAGTTTAGCCAGATCTCTATCTGATGTCTACTTTCAAATAGGCATTAGATCAGGGGTGAAATGCTCCCGGTTCAGACCGGATCGCCCAATCCGATAGCGATGGAGGCGGGTGGTTCGGAGAACCTGTAGCAAAAATCCCTGCCCCCCCCCCATGCCCAGCTGAGCCACACGATCATCAGAGGCTTTTTTTCTTTTAAATGGCTCTGACGATCCAAGCTCTGACGATCCCAGCTGAGTTGCCTGATTGGCAATCAGGCAACTTAGCTGGGATAGTCAGAGCCTTTTGAAAGCATTTTTTTAACAACCTCTTCACGGAAGAGATTGTAGAAAAAATGGTTTTAAAAGTAAAAAAAAAATGGCCACGCCACCCAGTCACATTACTCCCCTCACCAAGCCACGCCCACAGAACCAGTAGTAACAAATTTTAGATTTCACCACTGCATCGGATGTTAAAAAGACTGGATACTGAAAAAGAAGAGAATAATTGCCTTTTACCCAAGTTGCCAAGGACTCATCCTCATAAAGGATGAGCAAATTTTTGTTGGCTGTGAATCTGGCTTAATGGCTTGGAAAGATGTAAGAGCCCCAGTTCCCAAGGCAATAGCATAATGTAGGGGCTCTGGTGTACAGCAGAGGTGGGTTTCAGCAGGTTCTGACCAGTTCTGGAAAACCGGTAGTGGAAATTTTAAGTAGTTCAGAGAACCGGTAGTAAAAATTCTGACTGGCCCTGCCCCCATCTATTCTCTACCTCCCAAGTCCCAGCTGATCGGGAGGAAATGGAGATTTTCTATCCTTCCCCTGCCATGCCCACCAAGCCATGCCCACCAAGCCACACCCACAGAACCAGTAGTAAAAAATTTTGAAACCCACCACTGGTGTACAGGGATAAAATTGTGTCAGGCGAAATATGGCAGAGGGGGACAGGCAGAAGGGAAAGGATTTAAGAAATAGGTTTTTGTATGTATGTTTCCCTACGCAAACCACAGGAGACTGAAATCTAGTTGTTTAGATAGAAAGGGCTCTAAAGTTGCAGAAAAGGAGCTTATTTCAAATGCAGCCTTAAACACTTATTTTTGTGGTTCATGAGACAACTTGTTGTGCTTATTTGTGTATACATGCATGCATGTGCATTTAATTAAGGTAATGTTGAGACAGAGTATAGATCCCTTCACTCTGTTTCTAGCTTGGGGCCAATATGGGATATGTATAAACTCAGATCTCAGGAGAAGAAAAGTTATTACATTCATTGTACACCACAATTCAAATACTTGGGTGTTGGCCCACCCTTCCTAAATATCCTCTTGGAGCTGATTAATATGTTTCTTGATTGACAGAATTAAATATGGCAGTTCCATTTTATTTTATTTGGGTTCTATTAGAATGTGTAGCCATGAAAATGCGGTCTTCAGTCACATTTTGTGGTAATACAGAATCTGCCTGCTGTGTAATATTGCTGTCTGCCTCTTCAGAACAGTAATCTGGTGAATAATGTCAAGGAAATCTTTTACTTCTTAGCTGTTAGGGAATAGTAGTTGGTTCTAGAGTGGAATGATTTAAATTAGGGATGTAAATCGCCAAACCTAAAACTTCTGGTTTAAAGCATATTAATCAGATTTCTAAGGAAAAATCATCCTATACATAATGCAAAGCAAAAGAAATCATAATTGGCCATCTTTCTAGTGTCACAGAGCCAGGGTAACCTGTTTCTCCTTCCTTCAAGTTACACTCCTCAGGTGGCCAAAATTGACTATGTTCTTTGGTTTAACACCAAAGAATAGTTCAGTCTATAGATATATGCTTCTATTACCACAGTGAAGTTAAATTATATCTATCAACACCCATTCACACACCAAGAAACACACATAACATCCCTCTTACATAGAAAAAAATTGAAAACAATCTAAGAATAGTGTGGGTTTAAGCAGATTTTTTTCTTTTGTTTAGACTTCTTTCTTTAATCATTAATTTTGGATATTACAGAGACAAGTTGTGACTTGACCCCAGTGATGGCATTTTTCCTAAAGAGACCAATGAAATGTCTGGATTTTATGTAGGTTTTTTTAGCATGTCTTGAATGACTAGTAATTTGTAATAGGTCAAAAAGTACCTGAAATTTAGAGAGTTTTAAGGGAGAAAGGACAAGTAGATTTTCAAGGGAAGCATTGTCCCCCTTGTAATAAATATAAGATTTATAAAAAAAAAATTGCTGCTCAGGGTGGCATGTCTTCCTCTACTTTACCTTCATGAGTAATTCTGTGAGATGGGCTCAACTACAACATCTAGTAATCTCAAGGCTAAGTGAAGTTTCAAACTGGGTTTGTCCAGCTATAGGCCATCCATCATGCTACTATATAGCGCTTACCATTAGCAAACAGCAACTGGGCATCCATTTTCTAGAAAGTTCTGTTGCAAGTGCCATTCTAGCTGTCTTCCCATTACCCTAGTTCCTCCTGATTTCAGGTAGCTTACTTCCAGGAAAGTATGTATATAAAATTATGAGCTCCGTAACGTAGTAATACCTGCTTCCTTCCAGCCAGGCTGCGAATCTCTCAAGCAGTATATTCACAACCTTGCAATTGGAAATTGTCTTATATGCAAAGTTTTGTATAGCTTTGGCCCATCCTAGCACATTTCCCAAGGTGATCGTTTGGAAATCAATTAAATAAACATTCATTTCAGAAAACAATATGTGCAGACAAGAGCTTGCTCATTGGAGCTTGCTCTTTGATAAGGTCTGCCAGACCAGAAGCCTATTAAACACATATTTTATTAGTTTTAATGCTCCTTAGATGCCTATTACAGAGGTGTATGCTGCAGGATGATTCTGAGAAAGAATTTCTACAGGGAGTGTTAACTGAACCTGAATTCATATTCATTGAGTTGGAAGCGGTAATTTAGACCATTGAATCTAACCCTCTGTTTAGTGAAGAGATTTCTACTTATCCTACTTGTGTTTACTAAGTGTCATGGCTGCAGTTGAGTTTAGTTTGGCTTACAAACAGTTCAGTGTCAATTTTCAATACTGCATTTCTTAAATTTATGTCACAATTTGTTTCCCTCACCCTCCCCATGGTGGCAAATGACTGAAGAATAATTATAACCAAGGTTGACTGGATGTGGATATTGTAGTCCAGGGATCCTGATAGTAATAAAGGACTGCAACCTGTTCATTTCTTTAGATCTTCCTTATCAGCATAAAATAATAAGGAGAGAATGGAGGCATACATTAAGTGGGATATTACTTACTGAATGAATAAAAGCACCCAAGTTGGGATAAGATTAACTGGGAATTAACTAGAATTCTTCAGGGAAACAATGCATAAGAATTTAAATGTATATCTCTACTCCAAGATTGCAATAATGAAAGATATATAGATTGTTAATAGCCCCTACTCACATCTTATGCATTCAGTGAAAGAACCAATGTGCAAGATCTAATATAGATGCAAATGTCAATTGATCCCTGTGACAAAAGGATTGCTGCAAAGAAGCAGTATGACTCCAGTGTTTCATGCCATTCCCTTATAGGATCCTTAAATCTCCTGGTTCACGTGAGGAATAAGCAACCCACTCAAGCCTTGTCACTCAAAGGAGACAAAGGAAATATGTGGCAGCAAGTACATGTACCCATCAATCCTGCAGGACCTTTCCAGGTAAGCAGATCCTATAATACCTGCTATTATGTCTTTGATTTAGTATAGCAAACCTTAAGGCAAAGATTGAATGGTGAATGGTGAAATGTGAAATGTGCAGCAACACAAGTTCAAGAAAAATAGAATACCTCTTTCTGGCCTCCTGTAATAAAGTAGCTGAGGAGACATGCCTCTCCCCCTCCCCGCCCAAACTCGTTGCTTCATAATAGGGCTTAATACATCAGCACTAATAGATGGCTTGAACAGTTACTTGAGTTTTGTCATTGTTGAATAGGTTCTTACATGGGAAACTGGATTAGCTGCTGTCAAAAACATCACCCCTTCCTTATGGTAGTATGGACTATGTGGCTATTATTCCTGGTGCAAATCGTGACCCTGTCAGGAAGTTCACATTATAATCTCCCACCTGCTCCATAGGAGAGTACTATTTCTGCTTTCATATGAGAAAAAGGTATAGGAAAGGCTGTGTCTAAGTGGTACAGTACTTTCTCTGAATGCAGAAGTCATAAGTGCAATCCTTAACCAGATACAGCTGGAAGAAAGTTCATATCTGGAACTCTAGTAAGCCATTGGCTGGGCAGAGCTAGATTTCATAAGGATAAGGCAGCTTCCCATCCCTAGCTCTTATAGTAATGAAAAGTATACAAGTGATTCTGGTACCAAAGTATTTCTATGTAGAATGTTCTTGATTTGAGTCTCAGCTGGTGGGACTGCATGCACTGTAGTGCTTATTGTTAAGATGACCACCACTCAGCTGCAAGTATCCATGCTCCAATAAACAGCAACTGGTTACATGAGGAAACTTGTAGCACAGTGATGCCATGTCTTATATTACTAGATATTATCAGAAATGAGAAATGTGGAAGAAACTCAGAACTATTACTTCTGATTCACTGCAATGTCACATGTCAGCTGTGAATCCATCCATGGTAGTAAGTCTCTTCAATGTATGCAATGTTATCTGTTAAATAGAAATGTTCAGATCCAAACTGTGTTTCTACTGTAAATGCTATAAACAGTCTTCAAAAATGTGATGTCCTAGGTGCCATTTATTTATCTGGGCTCCATCCTTGCTTTTGCATGTTCAAAGCATGTTCTTGACCCATAACTATTTTGGAGTAAAATTTTGAGAGCCAGCTTGGTCCAGCTAGAAACCATGAGACTCTGAGTTCTAGTTCCACTTTAGGCATGAAAGCTGGCTGGGTGACTTTGGAACCAGCACTCACTCTCAGCCTACAACATCATGCTTGGGTGACAAGACAGCTAGTCAATTCTTGTCACAATCAACAGATGAACTCTCTCTTGATCTGAGGGGGTGGCCTGAACAGGGGGGTGCTGGGTAGGAGGTATAGCTGTATAGCTAGATAAATCTTACCTCCTATATGTAGGTATGTGTTTATTTACTTATTTTATTTATTTTATTTTATTGAATTTCTATACCGCCCTTCTCCTGAAGGACTCAGAGCGGTGTACAGCCAAAAATAAAACCATGACAATATAAAAATTAAAAGCAATTTAAAACAATTAAATAAATTGGCCAAAAAACTCTAGTAAAACAACCCATTAAAATAGTAAAATGTTATTATTATTTAGGCCAGCCCTGCATGTGTTAAATATTATTATAGAAATCTTGTATAGTTTCATGAAAGATTCTGTGATGGTGTGTTGAATCTATGCAAAATTTAACCACTATGCATTAATTTTCTGAGCCGTTTGTAAGCAGCGAAAAACAGTTGCACACTGTGATTCTGCAAAGATGATTTATAAGTGCTATTCCATCTCTAGGTGGGATTTCAAATGTCTATTTTATTTTGGAAGTATATGAAGCATGTATAAATTGCACAAAAGTTTATGTTTACTATTAAGAACTAGACACGTTTATGATTGTTCTTTCATTACATAGATGAAAATTCGATTATGGTCTTTTAAAAGCAGAGTTATGGCTGCAAATTGGCATAGAGATAGAATTTTTGTTCATATAAAGTTGCACAAAAACATATTTACTTAGCATTATCAGGTAAATGAACTCTGTTTATGTTCAGATTTTGTGTGAACTATTTGATTGGTACCTTGAAATCCAGATTTTAAACTCCCAGAGTATAAAGCAAATTCTACCATCTTTTGTTATATCAGCAGTGCTGCTTTTCAAAAAACCAAAATCTTGGCAAACCTGTTCTCAAGATCTTTTTCAGATCTGTAAATATTGAACAAGTATAAAACTGATATGCATCTGCAAAATAAATAGAACTATATTGAGGAATGAACAGGGCCATACATTTTCCATTTATTATTCTGAGGTGTGTGTGTGTGTGTGTGTTAAAATCCAGAGGTGTTTATTCCCTAAGAGTTTTATTGCAAATTTTATTCCTAGCATCTTATTTTCTTTCGTGAATGATTTGTTACGCTGCTTGTACTAGGTGAGGCCATGAGCATTTGCCTTTTTTTTTTTTTACTCAGCACTAAAGTGTGCCGTATACTTTGGGGTGTCATAAAACAATAATCTAGTTACTTGTAAGCCTGTTGCTTATTGCTTGTAGCTCAACAGTTGCTGTGTGCTTAATGACAACTGGGATGGGCAACTAATTTGTTACCATTCAGTTGGTATGAGCTTGTTCCAGCTTGTTGACTCAGAGCCTAGGGATGGTCTTTCCTTTTGCAGAAGTGTCTCTGAATAGGTTGGACAGCAGAGGGGCATAAAAAGCAATGCTACACTCTGTGTGTGTGTGTGTGTGTGTGTGTGTGTGTGTGTGTGTGTGTGTGTGTGAGAGAGAGAGAGAGAGAGAGAGAGAGAGAGAGAGAGAGAGAGATGCATTTTCATTAGAGGGTGTGTCATGAGGCTTATATAAGTAACATTTTCCTCACTTCTATCCGGTTCATTTCTTCTTCATCAGGCTATGAGAATTGAAGAAGAACTGGAACATTTCCAAGTGCTTAGTGACTAAAATGTAACACCAGGCTCTACGTAACCAATATATACAAGAGGAAGCCGTTTTGCTGGGGAGAACTATGGCTAAGGCCGTATACACGCTTACCTGGCCTTAAGTACCATTTAATTCAGTAGGACTTCCCTCTAAATAGCTACATATAGGATTGCACTGTGAAAACAGCTGCTAATAACTGAAAGCGATGTAGGGATTTTTTTTTTTCTACATGAGTATTCCTTTGCAGGATTAATATAGAGAGATACCACACTGCCTCAGAGAAATTCCAGACAATGAACTGGAAAATTCACAAAAGTAAAACAGAGAGAAAATAGTATTACATCATATCATATACAATATGTGGCCAGTATGTTTCCAGCCAGGTTCCGTGTAGCCAACTTAATAGCAATCAGTGTGTTAGCTAGGGGGAAAATATTGCATTTTCCCAAGAACAACATATTGATCTCAGAGAATGGAATATTCTTACAACAGAAATGCTGCCTTACAGAAAAATAGAACGGGACAGAAAATTGGAAACAAATGTGCATTTATAGTATCCATACACAGACAAAGTTCTTTTTTTATGGAAAACAGAGCAGCTGAGCATGAAATATCTGCCCTTTGCTTCCTACAGATAAATATACACACATGATATCATTGCCACTAGGAATGCTGGAGGAATCTCTTTTCAACCTGAATTGATCTGCCTCTTCTAGAGAAATGTGCAGATCAGAATTTGGCAGTCAGATGGATTTTTTTCACTTCCCTTAATATTACACTGCAGTTTTGTGGCTCAGAAAAGAAAAAATCAAAAACTATTTAAACTGTGCATTCGAGGTTAAAGTGAATGCATCACGCTTGTTTTCTAACGTGTTCAAAAGATATGTACTGAAATAGATGTAAGCGCCAAGGTTGTGTAGAATTTTTTTTACAAACCCAGACTTGCAGAATGAGCAAGGAATAGAAGGGAATTACTGATTAACATTTTCAAATGCCCACCCCCCCACACACACACTTGCCTTAGGTAAAATAAAAGAGAGCATAGTTGGTTAGGGGCAAATGAAATTTCACAGCCTGTATACACAGATCTCCATCTGGTCTTTATTCTGAAAATCCCCCATCACAGTATTCAGCAAATAGGAAGGCAGCAACACTGAATATCCACTGAGTATGTGAACAGTGTGAGGAGGCTTCGTGCAGGGCTTTATATCATCAGAAGACAGGTAATGGCAGGCTTGTAGTCTTCTCCTGCATAATGGGACATGAATGCAGAGGTTGGCTCTGCTCCTGAGGGAATGGGAGGTGAATGGGCCTCTGCCCTCGCTGCCTGTAAAGTGTTGTAACCATGGGAACAGCACGGGTGGCATGGGCTAATGAAGCTGTAACTGTCAAGCTCAGAGAATGAAGGAGCCCCCTGTGATTCCAAAGTCAGGAGTACAGGGGGAGAAGGATAGCTCTGGCCTTCATAGCAGCCCGAGTTATGGAGATTTTAGCACCCAAGATGATAATACAGTTCATTTTATCCCTTGATCCGCTCTTGGGACGGCCTCCCTTGTATCAAGGCAGGGACAAAAGGCAAATGAGCAGTGACCCGTTCTAATATGAGAAGTCACCGTTGCCCCGATGGTTTCATCCTATCCCCCAAACCTTAACACCCCTTTACATTGGCCACAAAAGGCACACAGAGCTGGATTTCATTGCAAAATAGAGGTTCTGTAACAGTAACAGATTAACAGAGTTGGAAGGGATCTTGTAGGTCATCTAGTCCAACCCCCCTCCCAAGCAGGAGACCCTACACCATTTCTGGCAGTCCAGTCTCTTCATGAAAGTTTCCAGTGATGATGCTCCCAGAAGCTCCCACTCTGTCAAGCTATAGGCATGTGATCTACTGTATATTACAGAAATGAAGCCAGAAATGAAGCCAGAATGTGTGAATGGAGCAATCTAGCCCTGCAGAGTGGAAGGTTGGGTATTATCATGCCTTTCCATGTGACACACTTGCTGTGACTGTAGCCCGAACAAGCCACCTACTCTGACACCCAATTTACCTTCCCACAACCTCAGGCATGCAGAATTCACTTCTATATGGGAGAGATGGTGTCTGTCATGGACACTCCCACAGATAGAAAGAAGGGGTTGGTCTTTTTGAAAAAAAGACAGAAGTTGTTGGACCAACTCTGGAAAGGAGTAGGATTTAAGATCAGTCCACCCAGTCTTTGTTTAAATCCAGATAATCGAAGCACAGGAAACATCTGCATCAACAGCCTTCTAGGAAGAGGCCAGGAATCGTATAGCATTTGACTTCTGGTCCTTTGTGTTATGCTATTTATCTTGTATTTCTCTGTGCAAGGTAGTGAATTCTGTGTGATTTCATTTTTTTTATCCATTCTTCAGGATGGACATGGAGATATTCATTATACTGAATATATATAGTGTTTCTGCAGTTCCTAACACTCAATTGCAACATCTCCCATCTCACAGGAGAACCTGCTGTTTGTAGTAGACTAGCACCATCTTCCAATTTCTTTGGAAATGTTCTTGTTTAGTTGTCAACTGTATCAGAACAGCTCTACAATTTATCTTTATCCATGTTGACTGTATCCATATATAAAGTTAAAACGGAGGTTGCATTTTATTGTAACTTTTAAAATAAATTCATTTAGTTGTCTATCTTCCAAGGAAGGGAGGAAGGCCTCAATCATATGCCTCTGTATTACACAACCAGAAGATTGCAATATTGAAATTCTTTTGGTTTTTGTTTTTCACCTTTTAATTGGCAAAAAAAATTGTAAGATAGTTTATGGGTGAATATCAGGGGAAATCGTCCTGGGATTAGACAGAGGCACAGGGAATTATCAAGCTTCTGCTCCAGTGCAGAGGCAGGGCCAGGATGTGAAATTTGAAATGGCTTCCAGGAAGTTGTTTAAAGCCTCCAGCCTTCTACCTTATCGGCTCAGCAACACCTTGCAGACAATTCACTGATAAACTGAACCATTAAAAAAACAAAAAAAACAAGGCCTTATAGACTGCCCCAAAGGGTGCAGTTGTCAAAAAGAATTCTAAAAAAAAATGTAGATTTGTGAAGGGTAACAAAGAGCTGAGTTTTCTTTTCTCCTTAAATTTCACCAAGATTCATTAATTGTCCTAAAGTCAGTTTTGTATTTTTCATAGTTTATCAATAACAACAAACAGAATATTGCAGAACAATCTAATATAGAAGAGATCATTTGGGGCAAAAAAAAAAATCACATCTCTCTTTTTTTGCTTGTTTTAAGCTGGTCTAAACTATCTCATCTGGGAAATGTCCCATCATGGCCCATTTGGGGACATTTCAAGATTGAAAGTTCCAGGAAAATTGGGGGCAAGTAGACAATGTGTCGAGTGGGATTTAGTGGCCTTTGAGACTGATGGCTTTAGCATCACAGGAAGGCAATCTAATATTCTTTTTGCAAAGTTGAAATTTTTAGATGTTTAAATCCTTTCTAAGTCTGATCTTTTCTTCCCTCAGATCATCTTTGAAGGTGTCCGTGGGACAGGTTCTGAGGGAGATATTGCCATTGATGATGTTACTCTGAAAAAAGGTGATTGTCCAAGAAAGCCAATTGTCCCAAATAAAGGTAATTATACTTGGTGAATTGTATGCATCATTGCTTCCCAAATTCAAGGGGAAAAATTGGGAAAGCTATGTATATTAATCAACATGTATGTTTAAATATAATAATAATATACTTATACATAATAAGAATATACTTATTCATAATCAAAATATACTTATTCATATCAAGAGAGAAAGAGAAAGAAATAATTATTATTATTGGCTGCAATGTATCAAGCTCATTTAATTTATTGTAATGTCCCAGGTTAATGTCAACGCCCGACACGGTTCTTAACCACCTAGCTACAGAAAATAATGAAATGTTTATTATTCCTCAGTCTCTTTGATAAATTTGTTACCAAACAAGTTGGAATTTTAGAATCTACAAACCCAGGAAAATGGTGATTGCAGCAATAGCCATAGCATACAAAACAAGATAATATTATTCAGTAATAATAAGCATTAAAACCTGTGATGATGGATGGGTGATGGATCTATTGATTTTTATTATGTAGTCTGAAACAGAGATGTCTTCCAAAATTATAAACATATTTTTCCCTGGGTATATTTGTCTCAAATTTTCCCACCTATCCTATGCCAAGGGCAACAGAATCAATGTCAGAGAGGAAACTATTCTTCTCACTTTGAGAATTATCCTTAGTCAATATATTTAGGATTATTTTAAGCAGAACATAATTAGATTCTTTTGTGAAGTTCTGCTTAATGGAGGAAAGGAAACTATGGGCCATCTATAATAATGTGTGTGTAGGATGTCCAGAATTAATCCTTGGCATTTCTGGTTTAATAAAACAAACAAGCAAACAAATAAAAAATAGGATCAGGTACAAATGATAGGAAAGTGATTTTTCTGCATTAAGTCCCAGAAAATCTTTATTTGTTGAAATATGCACTGTTGAGTGATTGAACAAATCACAGGATCATTAATTTGGATGAGGCCATCATATCCAACCTCTGCTCAATGCAGGAATTTCAAATTAAACCATTCCAGAAAAGTGACTGTCTAATTTCTGTTTGAACACATCTGAAAAGGGGCAGCTATCTCCCTTTATGGATAATTGCTTCCACTGTCAAACGGAACTAAATATTAAGAACTCTTTTTCTAATGTTTTACTGGAATCTGACTTCCTGTCAGATCTCATCCTTTATTTTGCATACTGCACTCTGGAATGAGAGAGGACAGATCCTGATGCTTCTCTATGTGACATCTTTTCAGGCATTTGAAAAGTACAGCCACATCCCCTCCTAAATATATTTTCTCAAGGCAAACATGCTGTCGATCTTTCTTTATAAGGCTTAGTTTCTAGTCCTCTGATCATCTTTGTTAGCCTCCATTCATCCTGTCCCACTGTTTCTGAATCCTTTTAAAGTGTGGATATAGTACAGGTATTATATGGCCAAAGAAGAATATAGTTATTATCTAGCCTGTTATGAGGAAGCTTTCTACATTAGTTCACTGACCATTGTCCTTGGACATTATTTTTTATATCTGTTTTACTCTTTGTTCTTATAAACAATCTGAAAGAGAGACAAAAAATCTAAAAATATCTGTTTTATTTTGCATGTCTAATATGGCAAAAAAATGGTTATGGCAGTGCAGTACAATAACCTCTAAAACACATTAGTTTTGGAAATATTCATCTTGCATGGTAAAACTAGACATTTAGAATTCTATGTGTTTTCTTGTTTTCATGTGATTTCAATTTTCAGTACAGGTAGTCCTCAATTTACAACAGTTCATTTAGTGACCATTCAAATTTACAATGGCACTGAAAAAAAGTGACTTATCACCGTTTTTCACCCTTACAGCCTTTGTAGCATCTCCTGATTATGTGATCAAAATTTAGATGCTTGGTGACTGACTCATCTTTATGACCATTGCTGTGTCCCAAGTTTATGTGACCTTTTGTGACCATATGACAAGCAAAGTCAACGGGGAAGCCAGATTCACTTAACAACCATCTTACTAACTTATCAACTGTAGCGATTCACTTAACAACTGTGTTAAAATGGGGCAAAACTCACTTAACAAATGTCTTGCTTAACAACAGAAATTTTGGGCCCGATTGTAGTCATAAATTGAGGACTACCTGTACATCCAATTCTTTTGTTTTGGTGGGTATAATCTTGGAATTCTTAAGATTATCCTTTCATCCCACAGTCATTTGTTTTGCAAACCATTGATCATTTTCATGAGATAACTTTTCTCTTTCTTTCCCTACAGCAGTTGCCCTTCCAGGAAATTCTGCTGTCACCCAACACACATCTTCTCTCTGCGGGCCACTATTTTTCTTTCTTTACGTGCTGCTCAGATGATAGCAGTGAATGCTCCCATTGTCTGAGACATTCCTCCTCCTTTCCTACTTGGTCACCCTCTGCTCCTGTATCTCCCCCTCCTCACTGGCACACCAAAGTGTCCATATGTTACCAAAGACTAACATGCATGACTACGCAAAAGGGATCCAGCTAAGAACCTAAGGGATTCCTGGAGAAAGTCATACTGTCTAAAAACAAAATATATATAAATAAAGAGACAAAAACAAACAAATGAAAGAAAGAGGGAGGAAGCAATGGAAAGAAGAAATGGAAGCAAAGAATGAAAGGCAATGCTGAGGATGAAAATGATGTTTAAAAGGATCAGTGGAATGGAGGAAGGCATGTTCCTTTAAGAACAGAGGACAAGACTTCCTCAGGGAAGTAGGAACTTTTGTTTAAAAGAAAAACAAAATATATTAAAGCACAAATTTCTACCAGAACTATTACCTTCTTGGCTGCAGAACCACAGTTTAGAAGACATTCTAGCATACACAGTGCCATTCTTTGGAATCTCTGTGTTAAGACTTCTCCCTTACCGGTTTTGCCTACAACCTGTCTACTGCAGCACCACCTCCTCATACTTCTCCCACTCATCTCTGATGACCACAGAATCTTGTCCTCATTTGCATGTACTTCTGAGTCTTCATATGCGTTTTTAAGACTCTCATGTATTTACTCGTCCATCTATAAATTTGCCTTGACCCATCCATCCCCAACTTCAGCTCAGCAAAGCAAAGAGATAGACCTCTTGTGGATTATGGAGATGAATGGAGAAATCTAGGGCAACCATAAGCTGCAGGTTCAGCTGTTGACATTCTTCACCTACCCATCTCTTTTCCCCTTTTTCAGGCTGCTCACTTCTCTCCTTTAGTACTTTTTTTTTCTTCTACCATCCCAGAGACAGATTGTCAATACAGCACAGAGACTAAAAGAAAAGGCTTCTTGTTTGAGGACCAAAGTAAAGAAGCTGAGTAGTGACACTGCAGTCAGTTACTATCAAAGCATGAGCTTCAGAAGCCTTAAGGCAAGGATTTCCTCCACCTTTTGTTGTTGTTGTCATTGCTGCTGCTGCTAATTTATCTATTCCCTATTTCCTTTTAGTAATTCAGTCCTTACAGCCCCACTTCCTTTTTTAACTACAAGGGGAGTCATACAGATGCACCCTTATAACATCTGAAATATTTCCTTGTCGGTAGTAATACCTATTCTTGGCATATTATTAATCAAAGATGCTGCTACTATGGTGCTTGATTTGCTATTGAAGGATTGGGTAGCTGTATTGCAGCTGCACAATGAGGTGAAAGACAAATGGAAGCAGAAAATAAAACTGTCTCTACATAAAGGAACCAGGATAGGCAGGCTGTTATAGTTTTGAAGAAAAATATACAGGTAGTCCTTGTTTAGTGATCACAATTGGGATCGGCAACTTGGTTGTTAAGCAAAGTGATCACTAAGTAAAATGGCAACTGTGCTTATAAACCAATATCAGCTTTATCAGGAGGATAGGTTACAAAGGTACTGTTATAACTGCAGACTGTTCCTTCATGAGGCAGTCACTAAGCGAAGACTACCTGTACTTAGATTGCATTTAGTGCAGAAAGACAGAGGGAAAAACACCCACTGTTTTCAGGGACACTACATTACCACTGTGAGAGGAATGTTTTCTCAGGAAAGCCCAACTTGCACTTGGTAGTCCTGACCTGCAAGATCATTAAAGCCAACTCTAAATCATTATATAAAGAAGAACCCGTTTACCTACTAGGGAGATATTACTACAGCAATGACATACTCTGCATACATCTTAATGGGTCTCTAAGACTTCAGGCAGCATAAGTTTTTCCTCCATCCACAGTCTTCCACACCAAGTTGCTACCAGACACGCTGGACTACAATTCTCATAATCTTCAGCTGGCTGAGAATTCTAGCATTTGCAGTCCAACTTGCTTTGAGAGCATTAGGCTGGGGAAGTTGATCTAGCCATTCAAATACTTGCTAAATGCTGCTTCAAAACTCCTTTGCTGGTATAAAATGGTTTGTCGTGAATGCGACTGCTTGAGGGCTCCTGGATTGGAGCTGAAAGGCGAAAGGGATGCAGTATGCTCCTTCCCACATGCTGGGGTAGACCAGGTGCCTCAATAGAAAAACATATATATTATTACATTTCTAGTAGCCTGAGCATTTTGTTAGTCCTATAGTGGACTGGCGAAAGATAGAAGAGAGCAAGCAATGTGATGGTGGAATGTCTGGCAATGTTTCTGTAGTTCTGTGTTCTCTGGGTTTACAAATGTACTAATAGGATGAAGGATAATTAATGCTAACCCAGTTTCTGATTTGTATAAAGTTATCTTATTTAATTTTGACCTGATTACACACTTTCTTTCTCATAGAAGACTTGGGTGATTTTATCATTTCCACCAGCCCAGAGACAGAAAGTTTTGATTATGCATTGCAAAAAGCTATCTATGAAAGAATTATGTTCTACTTATCTCTTGCTAAAAGAAAAATAGTGGAGAGTGGATTGCAAAAGTGGCCTCCCTTAATAATAACCTCCAAAATCCATTCCATGATTGGTATTAATGTTTCCCTCTAAAAGGTAGAAATAGCCTCAGTCTTCCTTCAGTTTTCAGCTTGTTGAAGCCATTGAGGTCAAGTACTGAGGATGCTCTCTTTATCAAAGATGTAAACATTAACTTCCACTGACTGTCAGCAGAGTTAGGAACCAGGAGGCCCAACTTGGCCACTGGAAAACTCATCACAAGTAACATGGTACAGAGATCTCCCCGGCCTCCAACTTCAAAAATTAGCCTAGCCTACCAATCCCCCAAGTTTCCTGCAGGCTTAGAACAATAGGTCATTTTTAATGGAAAAGTTCCACTGAATCTGTGATCTGACAGAGATGGATTCTCTATAAAATGGGATGTTCTCTGTATCTGAGCATTAACTGTGCTGCAAAAATGATTCCCATTTGGTCTCTAAAAGAGAATGTGCTTCTAAAAGGGAAGATGCAACATAATTCTGGGTGCTGATTCTTATTTTGGGCCACCTGTGTGCACTCTCAGCAGTGAAGCAGCTCAGTGCAACCTTTACCCATCTTCCTGGGAGTAAATCTGTTTACTCCCAGGAATGCAGCTATATAGGGCTGCATGATTAAAGGCCATATTGTCTTTTAGTATAAGCAAGCTAAAAATAATACCGAGTTGTGAGTTAACTTTGAGAATTTAGAGAAGTTTACTGCAAAAGGGGACAGCTGGCATTTGGAAGATTAAGAGTGAGAGATTGGGAAGGGAAATAAAGAACAAAATGCAGATCCTGAGCTGCTATCTTCCTTCTCTGTCCTATTTCTGCAGCAGCTTTCTGATTTAAGTGTCCATCTGTGTGAGAATTGTAATGGACTAATGAAGTGCCTATTTTTGCAAAAGAGATACACAAAGTTCTCTCTTGGATGGGGTGAGCTAGCACTGGCTCAGGTATCTATCAATGAAATATCAGCCTTTCAATCATCAAGAAGTCTCAGGGAGCCTCATTTCCCAATACCCTTCTTGTTTTTATTGCTCTTTTCTTTCTCTGGCATGGAAGGAACAAGTTTCCTTAGTGAGGGTTGATGTTTCTGGTGCCTTGTCAGAAGCATGAAGGTTAAAAATAAAAGGTCTCAAGTCATTGTCCAGATTGCTAAGACAAACCATGGAATGAACTGGCATAGTGGTGAAGCTGCTTCACTTATGCAGAAAAATTCCAACTGTGCATAAAACCCAATGTTAGGATCAGAAGAGCTCATATTGAGTCATTTTCCTGGGCTTATTCAGCCCAGGAAACTTCTCAGCATTTCAAGGGAGCAAAATTAAAATATTCTCCAAACAGAGATATTTTTTTGTTGCTGTGCTTGTTTTTGCTAGTGTTTTCACAGAAAGGGGGGGGGAAACCTTTCAGAGCTGCTTGAAGTAGCGGCTAACAGTCTGACACATTCCTTTTCTAATTAGGAATCGGGTAGCAAAAATACAGGAGACATTGAGGTGGTAGGAAAGATAGGCAGAAAATGCTAATACTTTTCTGGTAAAATCAAAATAGCCACTTGATTGCCACAGACATTTTCTGCCTATCTTTCTGTCTGTCCTTCATGTCATCTCAGGATCGTCTGGATTTTTGCAACCCTAATTTAGAATAGAATGTTGCATGAGAATAGAGTTTTGTCATGGCATAGCATTATTGTGCAAAGATTTGAGAAGGAAGGAAAGATGCTGGTTCCATTGACCAAAACACCTTGAATGGCCATGAATGGAGTGTATGGGTTTTTAATGTTTTTTAAAACAACTTTTATGGTATATTGTTCGCATTATTTTTTGTTGTAAGGCGCCCAGAGTCCCCAGGGAGTTGGGTGGCATAGAAATGTGACAAATAAATAAATAAATAAAATATCTCCTCCTCAAAGGTAATCCCATCAAAAATGAGATATCTGCTTTACTTGAAAACTAGTGACACCCTCCTTCAGGTTCGCAGAGGAAAAACTGATCTCAAGAAAGCATGGGAGGTACCATCTCATATCTAATTAAATATTTCAGCATAGACCTCAAAAAAAGTTTAGGAATCAAATTATTTGTAAATAACCTTTTTGTTTATTGTTTATAGCTCATTGTTGTCAGATATTCTGTTATTGTGTGTGTATGGATAAATATATATATATACATATATGCATACATACATACTTAAACACACATACAAATTGATCTATTGAAGTGGTACAAATTGTCTAGACGTATAACTGATATATATCTAGGCAATGTGTAGATATATATATATATATATCTTAAAGCCCTTTTAAAGGAAGTCTGCAGTTGAATGTAGTATTATTTAATAACCCTTCACTATTGTGATACAGTTATTCCATAAGACAGTCTTTACTTTCTCAAAGTAAGATGCATCACTGCTTCTCAGCAATGACTGAAGAAAATGATTGTAAATAACAGATCCATCCATCACGAAAATATCATAGAAACCTACTGTACTGATGTTTTCAGTGAGGACATATATTGGAGGAGACAAGAATATAACCCAATTAAATAGAGTATATGTGATATAGGTTGAGGTATATACATATACATTGCATTATATTGGCATTCCCAGAATATGCTAAATTAATTAATCCATTTTATGGGTTTGTGCAACAATCCAAATAAAGGTTCCAAGTTTACATGCTATGTTATGACATATACATGCACATACAAAACCTCACTTGGCATGTTGCTTGCCTGACCCTATTAAATGTATTGTGTGAACACAATCTTATATTTATGATAATAACCCACAATACATGCTCCAAAAAGTCAATTACTGAAGATCCATTAGTTCCCTTTAATGGAGACAGTTAAATCTATCCAGGTGCAGAATATAATTACAAAATATCACTATACCTATTTTTTTTCCCTTGTGAGCTTATCAAGGACGTGTTGAAGGGAGGTGGATGGAACAATAAGGACTCATGGGCAGAAAAAAATTTTTTTTTTATTTAGCTTTTCAGCATTGTGTGCCATTTATTACTCATCCCATTAAATTGTTCAGGTTAGGGAATGTATTCTAACCAGAATCATACTCCCTTATACAGATGGAAAACTAATACAAATACAAAACCAATCAAAAGAACACATGTGATTTGTCTAAATATTGCTTGTGAGCTGCCCAGGATTATGCTACATCAGATGGGCAAGCTCTACAAATCCTTTAAATAAATAAATGTACACTGGAAAAGTCATAAGAAATCCTGGTAACATTTCTAAAGGTAGGACTGAATCAAATATAGAGCAAAATGTAGATTATTATTGTAATCCTGTGCATTTTTACTCAGAAATTACTTATTTTAAATTCAGTGGGTTTTATTCTAGGTCAATGATGTAGAATTGCAACTTAAAAATATGGTGCATAAATAACAAGTTAAGGGAATATTTAAAAATGTACAGATGCCATTATTCCTGAGATGGTCCAAATGAGAGGACTACTGTCCAGTCTTAATGCCTTGTGCTATATAACACTGAAAGTGAAGATCTCTAGTGTAGACAGTGCAATCTGATCATGCTGGAGTGCATGGAGTGCACCTTATACAAGCAAAAACCTTTGATCCAAGACTGGAATTACTGTACTAGTATTGACCAATATCTGATAAATAGAATGTCTTTCTCCCAGCCTTTTCCAGCCTGGTTCCTTTGACTCTTCTGTCAGTGACTTCTGGGAGCTGTAGTCCTAATACATCTGGAGCACAATAGGTTAGAGAAGTTAGTATTTGCAAGAGAATTGTTAAAAACTACCCTACCATTGCTTAAGCTTCCCAATGGAATATTTAACCTATTGAGATGACGACGATGATGATGACAATCCTAAAAGAAAGAAAATATTAAAATATTCTTATGGAATTGGCTTTTGCTTCTGCCAACATTTCTCTTCTCTGCTAAGATCTGGTTTTAAGCAGCTGGATTCTTCTTATCTTTGAAGCCCTCTGCACAGACTGTTTCTCAGCTCCCACATGCACAGCACAGTCTTCAGCTAAGGTCAGCCTCGCATTCTCCATGTAGGAGCTGCCAATCTTTGAAGCACTGTCTTAATTTTCTGTGTTTTTCATTTGCCCTGATTGACCTTGGATGATGCTTAATAAATGAGCAAGACATTTACTGAGAAAGATTGCCCATAGTGCCTTGAAAAATTACATTTTAATGAGGACCAATTTACACTCCATAGTAATAAACTGCAGTCTAGAGACAGTGGTTATCACTAGACTGTCAACATTAGGCTGCTTGGCATCCTTAGAGGAAGGCAAGCATGTTTGAGTAGTCTTCAGCTTTACATTAAGGAGAGAACTGCATCAAATCAAGAGTTTTCAAATGACCACAGCTGGGTTATGAGAGGCTATATAAATAGATAGTAGCCCTTTTCTTGATTCACTATAATATGGGCTACAACAACGGTGTCAAACTCACAGCATCACGTGATATATCGCAACTTTTTTCTCCTTTGCCAAATGGCATGGCCAGCACATAACACATCCGGCCTGCGGGCTGCGAGTTTGGCACCTCTTGATCTCAGTATCTTTTGAATGTCTTACAAAAGAAGAACGATTTTCCCCTGGGCAGAAGAACAATCAGCTAAACAATAAGAGAAGAGAAGATTCCAAATGTTTGCTAGATGATTTGATGAGCCTATTGAAAAGAGATTATTACTATGAGTCTAGCTAGAAGCCACCTTCATTTTAGTCAACCATCATCTCGTTTTGCCTTTTTGTTGGGTTTTACTATAACCAGTGCCAGCCCACTGATTAGGCCCAAGAATTAACAATCTCATACTGCGCTGTTCATATGCCATATTCAAGTGAAACCAGTTGTTTCATCCTGTTCTTTAGAAGCTCTGACTGCAGCTTATTTATACCTATAACCTGCTAAATGTGCAAGTCTGTAGAACTTTCAGGCAAAAGCATCCCAGTTTAATTTTTTACAAAGCCATTATGTTATTCTCCCCAGGATCCACTTTAAAATAAGAAATGCAAAGAAGATGTAGTAGAATATCTTCTTTTCCCCTTTCCATATCCGTTAGTGGCATTTGATAGTCCAAACATTTATTTTCCTATTTATTAGATAACATCTTTCTACATTTCTGCCAACCACATATAAACAGAGTTCTTCAGCCCCTGCATTAAATGCCAGTGAATTAAACTGTACCATAAACACAAATGTGCATAGGTTCATACAGTTTAGGAAAACTGTCTTAAGCATTGTCTTGTGGGTTGACCTTTTATCATGCAGAGCATTAGAAGGAATGACCTTTGGATCTTAATGTCATTCTCTAAAATGACAATGGAAGAGAAATGAATGTTTTTCAAGAGACTTACTGTTTGTGAGTTTAGTCACTGAAATTGGGCAGGGTAAGGTGACTCGCTTTAGCAAGAGAGTTGGGAGTACTGTTACCCATTCTTTAACCCATATTTGGAAAATTTGCCATTGATTTCCTTAAAATCAGAATTGGTCTAGAATTTCTATATATCTAGTAAATCATGCAGGGTTTATTTCTTACAAGCAAAGAGACCCAATAAAAACTTGAGAATACATGAACAATTTCACTTTTCCCAGGAAATGTTTCTCCCTATTCACTAAATTCAGTTACTTTAGCTTGTCACACAACTTCTAATAACACAGTTGAAAGGGCTGCGGTTATAGCTAGAAGCTGAACTTGTCTACCAGAAGAATCCCCACTGCTTTGAAACATTTTCTTGTTGCTTATACATTTGGTTCATAAACATGGATGGTGTTACATGTGCGTGCTTACATTTACTGAGAACTTTAGTTGGTTGGGGTGTTATTTAAATTGTAGCAAACATGGATGCTGTCTCATAAGTTTAGGCAGTACCACAAAATATAATGGGAAAATCTCAAAAATCAATAAATTAATATTAATATTTTTATGTGCATGCCTACAAAATAGCTGATTTCAAGTATCTGATCTGTTGAATGTTGATCAAGAGAGCAGAGACTCTCATTTACTACTCTAAGTTGAAGAAGAACATCTGACAGACACCTGATACTCCATTCATTAACATAGCCAAAAGTTAGGAGGTAGATAATTTCATATATTGAGCCAAACAATTATTAATGTTAAACTAACATTAGTTAATGACAGAAGGATTAAGAGCTTACATTTTCAGCAAAGATTTCTAAACACACACACACACCCTTTAAGCGCCCCCATGTACATTTCTGGAAGCAAAACTCTTATACAACTTTATTCTGTCTTTTATAGACGCCAAAGCCAAAGCAGTAATTGACTGATGACTAAGTTCAGCCACCGTAAAGATACGTGGAATTCTACTGGGAATTGGTTGGTTCATTGAAATCAACTACAGGGATTGTTTCTCAGTTTTTTCTTAGCCATCAATATTCCTAGATAGCACTGAAGTCCTATCAATTAGAACAGCGCCCTCCAACCTTTTGGGATCGGTTCCATGGATAAAAGTTTTTCCATGGACCAGAGGAGGCATGATTTTGCGTGCTGCCTGCATCCTGCAGATGGGGCTTCGCTTGTTTGCTTGGCCAGGTTGCTGGCATGCCATGGTCCGCTGCTGGTCCATGGACCCTGGGTGGGGGACCCCTAAATAAGAGAATGCATAATGTTTACTTTAGTCACAAGCTGCCCTAGTTTCCTAAGAGTTGACAACTCTTAGAAATGAGGACCCGGATTGTGGGGGAAATAAGCTGACTTTGTATAAATATACAAAAGTATGAAGGCTATTGCTTAACGCATTGTAAGCCACCCTGAGTTTCCGGAGAAGAGCGGCATACAAATTAAATAAAAAAAATATATATCAGTCAAATAATATTTGGTCTATGATATTGAGACTGTAATGTATTATTTTAAAAATTCAAGCCTCCTTCAAGTGGAGCTCAACTCATGAATATATCCGTGTAGTTTTCTTACAGCAGTACGGAAGTGATTTCCCTTTGCTTTATATAGGAGGCTCTTTCAATGTTCACACTAACCTATAGCCCAGAAATTTTCTAATTGCCTTCCACCCAAATGCTAAACAAATTCAACCTCTTAGTGTCTGCAGATCAATCAAAGTTGACTAGGTGATGCCAACTACTATTAATCCATCAAATATTAGTCAAAACTGTGGAGAATGTTTTCCTTTTAAAAATCCATCCTGAGGGAACAAAGAGGTGAAGGGTTTTCTGGTTTTTTGGTTTTTTGGTTTTTTTTTTTTTTGTTGTTGTTATTTGCAGCATGTGCCAGGAACTCTTACATAAGCTAATTTTTGTACAGACTGTATTGTGTGCCACACACATGTCAACATGGTGGCTTTCATTCTTGTGCCCCTTCCATTGTATCAGATTTTTATAAGTCAGGGTTTACATTACTCGGGGACTATCTGTAGTATAAATGGCTTTCTTAGCCCCATGGGGCTTAAGCAGCAGAAATCATGTAGCTGTAATTCACCTTGGTGGAAGTAATTTTCTCCAATTTCCAAATGTAAAATTATGCAGAAAGTTTCACTGACTTTATATATAGCTAACTGCTTCCCCCCCTTTTTTTTATTTCACCTTTTGAATTTACAGTTGTTCGGAGTACTTGCTTTTGTGCATTTTATGTATGGGGCATAAGTATAAGCCTTATGTTCATTTTGTATAAGCCTTGTATGTTCAAAAATATCCTTAAGGTTATAACATGGATGTTTCACTTTGGTGAATACAGTTGCTACTTTTTTAGTTCATTATTTATCTCACTCGGGCGCCTAGATGGCTCAAATCACATTTAAGCCCTGTGTTTTAACATGTGTGCAAATGTTGTTTCTGGAGACATTTAGCAATTTTGCTGTTGAGAAGTTTTGGGGAAAGCCAGTCAATGGTATAACATGCTATAAATTAGATAAATCATGTGATATTGGGTATGATGTGTGTTTCCTTAAGCTCCATATTTTAAAACACATGTTTTTAAAGATTTAACATGGCTCTTCATAATTGAGCAAATAGAGAAGATATGTAAATAAAAGGCTCCATTGCCCCCTGCTGGCTGGATGCAGAACTGGTAAAACATGTAACCTAGGAGTTCACCTCATGGTGAAACTACATATTATATCTAAACATGTGCAAGAAAAAAAATGTTGTGATTTATTTCTTTACCCCAAAAAAAAAACTTCACAAGGATTTTTTTTTTTAAGAAATAACTATTTTAGATACAAATTCAGAAAGTAGAGGGCCTAACAGACAAATGGCATCAAGTTGAGAGTGGCTTGTCTAAAACCATTTGAGAAAGAGCTGCAGTGGGAAACCAACAAGCCAACAAAAGCTTTGACCACATTGCTTGCTTTGTTAGGTCAAAAACTGCCCCTTCTTAATTCCCCTTAATTAAGAAATAAATGGGCTTTTGATGTATTCTTGCAGGTAATTTCAATCTCATTTACTTTAGATGATGGGTGTTATTTGTAATGGTGAGGCAAAACTGCTTTTACAAGACAGGAGCAGTAGTGGGTTTCACTTACTTTCACTACCAGTTCAGAACTGTGAGCGTGTGTGTGTGTGCGCTAGCTTCACTCACACACAGCGTTTCTCCGTGATGATGTCCAGGTGGGTGGGCGGAGCCTCCCGGCACCGCCACTACCAGTTTACCCAAACCGGTAGAAACCCACCACTGGACAGGAGGCCTTAAATAATGGTTGTGAGGTCTCTTCATCAATAGGAAACCTCCAGATAGCAAGTGCAGGCAACAGCAGTAACCTGATCAGCTTTGGAGAACAAACCTTTGCGTATGTGTGTGTATACACCCAAATTATTCAACTTCCATCATTCCCTTGTTTTTTTCCCAATCAAAAAATAATCAGTGAAACAAAAGTTCCAAGTATAACTTATTTGTGAGATAATATAAACTAGTGATTGGACAGGAAAGGAATCCAACCTTGTGATTGCTTGGGAGGAGACGGCCACAAAAATGCCAATAGTTTAATATTAACATTATAGGTATATTGAATTATAGAATAGCTTCCACTAAATGCCCTCAGATAAAAATATGATATTGGGAGGTGTTGTGCTAAATTATGATGTGTACCAGTGACAGCCTGAATACATAGAAGCACTTGAAATTCATGTTTGCCTTTCTTAAACAATCAGATCAAACTACGGTGATTTTCAGTTTTGAATCTTGTGGCATACACATTGTGACTAGGTACTATATAAGCTGTATAAGATTGAAGTAGGGAAAAAATTACTAATATGAGTATTAGAAATCTGATAAGGTAAAGCTGAAACATATGTGACCTCTTACGTAATTTATAAAATTCAGATATATCTTTCTAAAGTCCATACTGGGAATTGGAAAGCTAAACACATGTGAAATTGAATGTTTATGTACTGATAAAGAAATGTCAGTACCTGCACTATTTTTATTAGTAAAAATTACCTAGTGCACCTTGCATTTTCTGTTCTCTATCAGTCACCACCCAGTTGTAACCTTTTTTAAAAAAAAAAAAAATCCTGGTACTTACATCGTTGCATTTCCAAACCTCCTTTGGCCAAACAGGTTAGGATGGAACAACATGAGCATCTGCTAACTAACCTTCAAGAGGCAAGTGGGATACAACTGATATTGTGTCTTTCCCATTTTCCACAAATTAATTGTCTGGGGCAGAGCAGAAAATGAAAAAAAAGCAGCCCGCCTGTTCCAATGCATCACTTTCATAGTCTTCAAACCTTCTTAATATAGCTTATAATTAAAAAGAATAACACTGTGGAGTGGTAATAATAGAATCGTTGTTCTGTAACATGCCGTGTTTGGATTTCTACCTTGCCACAAGCTGTTTATAGTTGAGCTAAGTAATCTACGTGCAAAAAAAATGTTAATAACATCTAAAATTGCCTTCTTTAAGATAAATTTGTGTTATAAAATTGCACAAGATTAAAATAGTATCATTAAAAAAACCTGCTGTACAATTCAGAAGAGGATGATGGAACCTGCTTTCAACCCAGATTTCATATGCTTGTATTTACAGTTTATAATTATTTCCTAATGTAAGAGGAAGCAGTTGGTTATTACAAAGTAAAAAGCAGAATTGTTATACATTCTTCAAAGATAAATAATTAAGATCAGATAATTAGCAGGTTACTAGAACTAGGTGGTTTTTTTTTTTAGTTTTTTTTTTAGGGATGTGTTGGCTCAGTGGCTAAGACGCTGAGCTTGTCGATCGAAAGGTCAGCAGTTCAGCGGTTCGAATCCCTAGTGCCGCATAACAGGGTGAGCTCCCGTTACTTGTCCCAGCTTCTGTCAACCTAGCAGTTCAAAAGCACGTAAAAAATTCAAGTAGAAAAATAGGAACCACCTTTGGTGGAAGGTAACAGTGTTCCATGCGCCTTTGGCGTTTAATCATGCCGGCCACATGACCAGAGACGTCTTTGGACAGCGCTGGCTCTTCAGCTTTGAAACAGAGATGAGCACCGCCCCCTAGAGTCGGGAACGACTAGCACATATGTGTGAGGGGAACCTTTACCTTTACCTTAGAACTAGTTTGCTGTTTTGGTTCAGGGACCTGAAAGCCAGAGCCCATAAATTGCTACAAAAAGACTGTGGGTGAACAGAGAGAGTGAGATAGTGTCTGATGCTCTTCTCATTAAGATCATGAGAAGAAATCGGACAATTCCAGCTCCATTATCTGCCTGTAGTTTCATCTTCATTTTGTTCATCTTCTTTGCTTCTCGTGAAGCTTCTCATCATCATCATCATTGTCGTTGTCGTCATCATCATCATGCAGAGGTAGAAAGTATCTAATAATTAAAATAATAAAAGCACAGAATATGAAGGGGCTAAAAGAATGTTTGAAACAAAGCGAGATGTTTTATAAGCTTCCCCATCACACATACTCTGACCATTGTTGTGTTCCCTGAAAATATCAACATGGACTATTTTATTCCAATAAAGCTGCAGTATTTGAAAGTTCATGTGTGTTTCTGCTGCTTCTCTGAACAAGTTAAAATTTAATATAGGAAACTAGAAGAACCAATTATGAGGACCAGGATGACAAAGGAGACTTAAATGTATAACCAGCGGTATAAGGAACTTTTAAAGACAGCCACCAGAATCTCATATCAGTTGCTTCCCCTTTCCCACACCCCAAACCTCCAAATACACATGCAATGCTTTGTTCATAACCTTGTGGAATTGTCCACCACTGTGTTCTAAAAAATTGATAATATCTTCTTTTTCTTTATTGGCCTGAAAGCCATTTCTATGAATGATAACCAGTTCAAGAACTCACCTGGATGCTCCATTACACTGTTCTTTGCTTTCACCTATCCAGGTATGCATCATGTTCTTCTAGAATTCAGACAGAATAAAAACCAAGACCATCTCCATTATATACAGGCTGAAAGAAACAGCTACTTCATTATTGTATCAGTCCTTGATGAACAATGTTTATAAAGTTCAGTAAGACATAGTAAGATAGCAGTCAGGTTGTTTTATCACGTTAGAATAAACATACCAATTTTTTTTTACCATAGTATTGTCACTAGTTTTGCCATCCCTATACTGATGGTTTCTAAAATTGCTCAGCGTCTACTGGAGTACACAGCTATAACAAACTTAAATAAATACTATCTTTGCTAGCATATTGCCTGAAGATTATAGGAGTAATATATCTGCAGAGCACATGGTTAGGGAAACTTGCTCTAATTTATTCCTTTCTTTCTAATAAACATAGTGATTCTTATCCATATTTTCTCCTATCAGGCAGCTTTCTTATTTTTGGCCTTTCTCATGGAAAATACATTTAAAGAAGCAAGAGGGAACAGCAAAAATAAAACAATATATTCTCAAGTTACCATATTTCAATAATCCTAAAATACAGTGCAAAAAATGCTAAATAATGATAGCAAGCTCATTTTCCTGAGAATGGAATCTTACATAAAGTTTGGCAGACTTTGGGAAATCAAGAGCTTGCTGAACTTGTGAATGAAGACAGGACATGTTCAACAGACCACAAAATATTGACAGGTAAGACCTAGAGCCAAGATGAGGGAATGTTTACAGCATACTGGACGAGAGCATGGCTGACTGGAATGCTGAATAGGAGCACATTGCACTGCAACATTTTGTTTGTGGACCCATTTACACTTGAAAGTTTAAAAGAGCAGTAAATAGGCCTGTACCTTTAAAAGTATATTCAGGTAACAAGTGAAAAAGGGTCAGACCAGTGGTGGGTTTCAAAAATTTTTACTACGGTTCTGTGGGTGTGGCTTGGTGGGTGTGGCTTGGTGGGCATGGCAGGGGAAGGATACTGTAAAATCTCCATTCCCACCCCATTCCAGGGGAACGATACTGCAAAATCCCCGTTTCCTCCCAATCAGCTAAGACTTGGGAGGCAGAGAATAGATGGGGGTGGGGCCAGTCAGAATTTTTACTACCGGTTCTCCGAACTACTCAAAATTTCCGCTACCGGTTCTCCAGAACCGGTCAGAACCTACTGAAACCCACCTCTGGGTCAAACCAAACCATGCACCAAAAGCAGGCGAAGTTTGGACCAAGAAAGTTTTCCTTGGTGAAATGTCTCATACGGCATCATTATAGAAAAGGCCTTGCATTCTTCTGGAAAACAGAGAAACACAAACAAGAGAAGAAAACAGTTTTAAGATCCATATGGATGGAAATAATTGTCAATTTTAGCAATGGTTTGCAAAATGGAATTCTTCAAGATCTAAGCTCAGTTTAAAAGAAGGTACAACAAAGCCATCTGACAGAGAGAGAGAGAGAGAGAAAGGGAGGGAGGGAGGGAGGGAGGGAGGGAGGGAGGGAGGGAGAGAGAGAGAGAGAGAGAGAGAGAGAGAGAGAGAGAGAGAGAGAGATCGAGAGAGAGAGAGAGATCTGAACAAGAAACTACCCTATATTTCAAATACTCTGACCCTTTTGTTTTAAAAGCCCAAGAGAGGAAAACCAAGTGACTGGGACACAGGGAGAAGATTTATGAGCTGTGAGATAGCATCAAGTTTTGAAGAGTCAGAATAAACTAATAAAAATAGACAGAAAAAATAAATAAATAACCTGTGCTTTCAGCTTTTTATGAGGAAAAAGATATGACTGGGGCTTGTCTTTGATTTTGCCACCCTCATTCCACATTTATTTTTCAAGGTCATAAAAGCATTAAACAAAATAGTGGTTTGGCCAGCACCCTGTCCTCTCAGGGGACCAACTGAATGCTTCCGAAAAGCTTGCAAGGAGAACGGCACCCTCCCATTTGTGTTCCCCAGCAATTGATGCTAGGAGCCACTCTGCCATTGACACCGGTGATAATACAGCCATTAGGACTGGTAGCTAGTGATAACCTTATCATTCACAAATATATGTAACCCCTACATTTGTCACATCTTGACACTGTCCTTTCCTGGAGCAACAATCTGCAGTGCACAAAGTTTTGTGCCTCATTCCCTCCCTCCATGCTGTAATAATTTCTGAAGGCTACACACAGTGGGAAGGAATTTTGTCATCTCACATTCACATCTAACACTAGATTTCCTTTTGTGTTATCGGATCCAATAAATGGTCTCTTTTGTAACCCCCATACATGTACAATCTTGCCAGAGTAATAACAAATATGCTAACCTGCTCATGAATAGTGCAAAAATTTTACTAAAGTATCCCAGAAAACCAAGTCCAAACTTCCCTTTGTTGCTTCCTGACTTCTCCTGAAAAAGAAACCTCTGAAGGGAAACCCAAAGGTGCTTTTTCAGGCAGCAACTGGACTTTCTTGTTTTTTCTTTTGAAGACATTTTGCTTCTCATCCAAGAAGCTTCTTCAGCTCTGACACAATAGCCTGTCAGAGCTGAAGAAGCTTCTTGGATGAGAAGTAAAACGTCTTCAAAAGAAAAAACAAGAAAGTCCTGAAAAAGCACCTTTGGGACAACTATGACTTGGATGACTGAGAATCTCTACAGACTCTGAAGGGAAATAATAATTAGTTAGTATACAGGCCCTAGAATCCTTAGATATTTATTAGTGATCTTTAATGTCACTAGAGACTATTGGGGGCACCCTTCCTGCCCTTTATCCCCAGTTGCATCTGCCCTTGCCACTATAATTTTCAACAATGGCTACCACATTGCATGGTATTAAGCCTTGGTGGGTAATAAAATGACAGTTTGATTATAAACAGAATCAGTGAAAATGAATTAAACCTAATTAAGACTCACTACAGGTCACTTTGCTGAATGGAAAATATTTCTGAAATCTGGAGCTAGTTCTGGTATCATCCAAGAATCTCTCTCAGCTCTCCAGTAGTGTCCTGTGTTCATTTTTCCAGTGTATCCAGCCAAATTTCCTTTAATAAAGCCGCTTCTGACAAAATGTGACTTATTTAAGGTAGCCATCAGTGAGCATCAGATGTTGAAAGGGAACTTCAGAGTCATCTATCATCCCATAAAGGAGGAGAACTAAGTGGTATAGTTTATATACATGGTGAAAGGTAACCATAAGCCTAATGAGGCATGAAATGGGAAATGCTGCTTTAGAGTTTGTCTGACAAATTTTGATCAAGAATCCTGACTCTCCACAGGGATAGCAGGAAACAGCCATGGCTCTGGAGTGCATAAAGGGGGAACAGGGAAAAAAAATCCTCATTTCAGCAGCCCTCAGTTCAATAATTGAAAATTAGGACATGTGAACACAAGCCTGGAATTCCATTAGTGTTTCAGTAGGTAGATTCATAAGAGGAAAAAAAAACAGAGTATGAAAATATATTTGGAGAAGTAAATCTCTCAGAATCAGTAAGATAAGACAGGTTTAATGTGATGCTAATAAAGATGAACCTACAAAGGAAGGTCTTTCCCTCTGACTCACCTCACCCACCCGGCCTTCCCCACCCAACTGGGACTACAGAACCATGGTGGTGCAGTGGTTAGAATGTAGTATTGCAGGCTAATTCTGCCGACTGCCAGGAGTTCGATCCAGACCGGCTCAAGGTAGACTCAGCCTTCCATCCTTCTGAGGTTGGTAAAATGAGGACCCAGATTGTTGGGGGCAGTATACTGACTCTGTAAACTGCTTAGAGAGGGCTTCTAAAGCACTGTGAAGTGGTATATAAGTTTACATGCTATTGTTACAGAACAGAGTGACTTCTCTAGTATGTCTGCTATCCCCTTCCCTCCTACCTTAGCCAACTTGAACTTTTCCTCTCTATTAATTAAAAGAAAGAAAGATACAAGTGCAGTTTAAGCCCAGCAGCTGATAATTAGTTTGCAATGCCTTTAGCCATCAGAGATGTGTTTCTAGATTACAATTCTTCAAGGTACAAAGTGGTACCAAAATTTCTATTTCAAATAGTAAAGTATTTGCTTTATTAGAAAACACACAACAATCAAGAGAAACACGGATGGGCCACACTGCTTAGAGAAAAAGAATTGGATTCAAAGAGTAACTATAAACCAAAAATCAATAGGCAAGCTCATTCCAAAAGGAGACTGAGCCTAATGGAAAAAATGGTTCCGAAAGGAATCTACCTCAGAGAGTGGTTTGAGCATATCCAATATTTTTGGAAAAAAGAAAAATAAGTAATACACTTAGTCTTCACTTAGTCTTCATTTAAGCCTGATTGTGATTAATTATTTCTTTCTGGAATCTTGAAAGTCTTCATTCCATCTTGAAGCAAGCATCTTTTCTCTCCATAGAACCAATTTATTTATTTTTTTCTAAGAGAAGGCTTAGACAAAAGTGTGGAGAAAAATTCCCTGACTACTTACTCTCAAGAGGGAGGTTGTTCATAAGGAGTCTTTATTTATTTAGTCATTTTTAAAGCCAGTTACGGAAAACTAGAAGACAGTCAGCATGATGGAGGAACTGGGTAATTTTGTCCAAAATTTAACACATTAGCTTTGCCTCAAGCACCATATACTGACAGTAAATCCATTCATAGATGCTTTGAGATCACAAATGGCTGAGTTGCAGGAGAT